TCATCACCATGTTGTCCTCTGTGCAATGCTGAAAGCAACATTGTGCAATGAGCTGAGAGTTGCCAGATGTGGTCCATACACCTTCAACATCCAAAAAATACATCCACAGAATAGGATAAAATATTCACACATAACCCAACAAGGGGTTGATATATCCAAGATACATAAAAAAAAAAACTGAAAAACTCAACAACAACAAAATAGCTCAATCAAAAGAAGAGGTGAAGCTGTGAATAAACACTTCTGTAAAAACATAAAGTTGGGGACTGGAGAGTTAACATGGCAGGTAGGGTGTTTGAACACAGCCTATCTGAGTTTGATCCACGAGCAAAGGCATCTCATATGGTCCCCCAAGCACAGTGATTTATGAATGCAGAACCAGAAGTAATGCCTGAGTATCGCCAGGTAAGTAGCCCAAAACCCAAATCAAACAAACAAACAAACAAAAACATACAAATAGAAAAAAAGACATAAAAAATGTTCAACATCACCTATTATCAAGGAAATGCAAATCAAGACCACTATGAGATCCCCTTACACCTGTGAGATAGCATGTGTGTGTGGGGGGGAGGGGGGGAGGAAGAGAGAGAGAGAGAGAGAGAGAGAGAGAGAGAGAGAGAGAGAGAGAGAGATTTTATGGAGTAATCGTGTGTAAACTCAACACAACACAAAGTGGGGGGCACGGCACTCACAGCGGCGGTGGCTCTATCTCTTCCGCCACCCGCGTTCGGTAGTCTCACCCTTCTCCCACCCCGGAGAGGTTGATGGCGATGGTCAGGCGGAGGAAGGAACGAGGGCCAGGCTGGTTGGTATTAGTCGTAGTTTATTCTGATTCTCTCCTCATCCGTCTCTGCTCCCTCTCTCCTCTCTCTCTGCTCCCGTCTCTCTCTGTTTCTCCTCGTCTCTCCTTCTGTCTCTGCCCCCCCTGCCCAATCTACAGTCTCCTTATATCTCTCTCCAAGAGAATGGGGGAAACAGTTACATATAGGTGTGGTCACAATCAATAGGGGTGGAGATCAACAGGGGTAGAAATCTTGGCCTCAGGGAAGACCGCTCCTAGGACAGATCCTTCCTCAGCAGGAGGACCCACCCTAGAGCATAATCCCATGGGCGTGCCTCTCCTCTCCTTGTCCGACAAGCATACAAGAATATAATATAAATCATTTTGTATGGATACAGTAAGAAATATCTTAAACTTATAGAATTGCTCTCCTAGGGCCATCTCGATCTCAGACTACAGTGCTCAGGCCAGATAGTCTTTCCCACCCCTAGCAGGATCCTAGTCTCGTTGTTACCTTTGGATCATGACAGCATTTGTCTATGATCAAACTCTTAATTTATAGTTAAGAATCGTGGCACTTTAGCCTGGCCCATTTCACTGCCAGGGTAGCTCACCGCTTGCCCTGGGTCCATTCAGTCCCTCGTCGGGACCCTGTTTTTGGGGTGTTAGGAACTAAGGGCAACTGAGGCTTAAGTCGAGAAAGAAGATGCCCGGGAGTGAATAATATTCAAGGCCAATCAAATCCTAAGTTACAAAGCATAATGTTAATGGTCTTCCTGTATCTATACAAAAAGGATATTACTTTAAGGTAAACTGTTCATAAGGCATAAGGAGAGGAGAAAGGCAATATTTCACTCATACATAGAAAATCATAGATTTCTGGGAAACTGATCTTACAAATTAACAAAGTCTGATTAAGGGGAAAGCTGATTAACTGGGTGGGAAGGAGAGCATAGGGAAGACTGTTTACATGTTTACAAGTAAACACAATGGAAGTGGAAGTGCCTCTGGAGCACTGTGATGGGTGTAACCAGATTAATGGGTGTAACCAGATAAACCTAAGCTTCTTGTACTCCAACAAATAGCACAGCAGGTAGGATGTTTGTCTTGCACACGCCGACCTGGCTGACCCTGGTTTGATTCCTCTGCCCCTCTTGGAGAGGCCGGCCACCAAGAGTGTCTCACCCACATGGCAAAGCCTGGCAAGCTACCCGTCATGTATTCGATATGCCAAACACAGTAACAACGAGTCTCACAATGGAGACATTACTGGGACCGCTCGAACAAATCAATGAACAATGGGAGGATAGTGCTACAATGCAGTGCTGTGTATGTATCTCACAATACACACACCAGAATCAATAATAGTTGTAGAGGATATGGAGAAAAAGGAATTATTTTATGCTGTTAGTGGGGCGGGGAGGGGGGGCGGCTAGGAAGATAGTACAGGGGTAAAGCACTTGCCTTGTATGTGACTGACCTGGGTTTAATCCCTGACACTCCAAATGGTTCCCCAGGATCACCAGGAGTGAGCGCAGAGCACAGGGACAAAAATAACTTTTGAGCACAGCTGGGTGTGGCTACAAAATAAAAACAAATCAAAGAAAATACATTCTTGGTGGAAAAGTAAACTGGTCCAAACTTTATGGAAAACAATATAGAAAATCCTTAAAAAAATTAAAGTTATCATTTAACAATCTTTCACTTAGCATATCAAAGGAATGTAAAATAAAAAAAAGACCCAGGCACTCCTAGGTTCACTTACAGCACCATATAGTAGCCAAGAAATGGAAAAAATCAAAGTGCCAATTGATAGATTTGAAAAATATGTGAATACTCCATTTGAAAAAAAAGAAATCTTTCATGGGAAAATATGTTTCATGTCTGGGAGGGTCAGACAGTAAAATAAGTCAGAAATATAAAACAAATTCAAATTAATGAGTAGAATAAAATAATCACTGTATCACTGTCCTCCGTTGTTCATCGATTTGCTCGAGCAGGCCCAATAACATTGTGAGACTTGTTACTGTGTTTGGCATATCGAATACGTCACAGGGAGCTTGCCAGGTTTTGCCATGCGGGCAAGATACTCTCGGTAGCTTGCTGGGCTCTCCGAGAGGGGCGGAGGAATTGAACTCGGGTCGGCCATGTTGGCTGTATGCAAGGCAAATGCCCTACCTGCTGTGCTATTGCTCCAGCCCAGAATAAAATAATAGTAGTAGTAATTATAGCAAAAGAATAGAGAAAACAAAACAAAAAATCTTTTAGATTCTGACTTCAAAAATGAGGCTAGGAGAAGGGAGACGTTTACTAGACACTGGGGGAGGGCATGGTGTGGTGTCACATATATTTGAAGAGAACAGAACTTATTTTCCTAACATATATACTATGTTGTGAACCATTTACTTTAAAAAAAATTGAGTGAATGAATAATAACATTTTTTTCCACTAGGTCACCTTCTAACCTCCACTTTTGGATGTCTCTTTACTTTATGGATCTTGACAAAAAATTGTTTTACTATCTACCTCATAGAATAGCTATAAGGAAGATATTTGATATTATTTACAGAAGTCCTGGCAAAACAAGTTGTAATACAGCTGTTAATAAAGAGAATTAAAATGATATTTAAGATCATTTACTATTCCAAAAATATGACAAGTTAAAAGTGACCAATGGACAGTAATCAAGGGTCTTGAGCACCTTGGCGGAGATGTCTGTGCAGTGAGTTTGCACAACAAAACCATAAACATTGACAGCCTCAAGTATAAATGATTAAGTATATTTGAAAGGTGGAATTTTGCTGCAATTCTAACTTGTGCTCAGTAGAGGTCACCATCACCTAACAAATCAGTGTATGCTTTACTGCTTTCCTGCTGTTCAGAATTTGTTGGACATTTTTTTAAACTTTTAAATATTTAATCAGTATTTCATTAAGTTTAACATATTAGCAAGAGATTTCTATTTCTGCCTCTTTGGGATATGACCGTTGATTTTCTGATCGCATTAATTTTTCCTGATTCAGATTGCTAAAATAGATTTCTTGTGCTCACTAGCAGTTTTTGTTAGACCCTATATACATATCATAACTCCTCGCCCCTTCTTTCCTTGATTTAAAAATAATTATAAAAGCATTAGCCCAAGATATTACTTTAATGTGAGGGGGATGGGGAAAAACAAATAATAGTGACAGGACAGTGTTTTTCTTAATAACTGTTACACACTGTAAGAGCTATATTTTAGGCTATATCTACAGCTAAAACATGTTTTATAATGAATAATTATACTGACAGAGGAGGTACATTTTTATATTTTCTAGGCTATTTATTTAGGTTATATGGAAGAATGTTTTTATAAAGCAAGGCATTCTGAAATATTTAGTATAAAATAGGCATCTGACATTATATAGAGACATTTCTTGTTGATGACATTATATTCATAAATATTGTAAACTAAATATTAGTTTATAATTATAATTATTAATCCTAAAAAATAAAAGTGAAAAAATAGGTAAGAATGATAAGCTAATGGGTCCAAATATAATAGGGAAGATATATAATTAACCATAAAAAATAATTATACTAGATTATACTAGTTACTGAAATCTTAAGATGTGCCAGGAGCTGAGCAATGAATTTCTTCAAGAACATTCATCATATCCATCTAATTTATTCTCCATATTTTATACTGGAAGGAATAATATCGCTGAGGCTGTTGAATGACTCCATGACCAACTACCATTACCCATAGTGTAGTTTCTTCTGCTGAATCAAGATAAGTCAAGGCTTACTCAGTTTGCCCTACAGATGCCACCCTTACCAAGAGATGGATTTTTTGAGTTCTCAGATACTTATTTCTGTGTGTTGGCATTGATAAGAAATTCTTTGTAAAGAAAAGACTAATCTAAAACTTTAAGCAGTCCTGCTATCAGGATATGGTTCTCACACATGAATTTAGTAATCCTTAGTTCTAATGTCACTGTCACTTTCCCATTGTTTATCGATTTGCTTGAGCGGGCACCAGTAACATCTCCATTGTGACCCTTGTTACTGTGTTTGGCATATCGAATATGTTACAGGGAGTTTGCCAGGCTTTGCAGGCACTATACTCTCAGTAGCTTGCCAGGCTCTCTGAGAGGGGTGGAGGAATTGAACTTGGGTTAGCCCGGTCAGCCACGTGCAAGGCAAATGCCCTACAGACTGTGCTATTGCTCCAGCGCAGGGGGGTGTAGCTCAGTGGTAGAGTGCATGCTTAGCATGCACGACACCCTGGTTTCGAACTCCAGCACCTCCACAGACAGTTCCAATATATAATATCAAATTCTCCATTTAATTTGTGTATATCAGATATGTGTGCAAATATGATGAAACTGTCTCCTGTATGTCAAGTTTTCATGCTCAACAGTAGTAAAAAACAAAAATACTATTATTAATACTTTGGGTAGTTGGGGTGGGGATCCCAGGAGTGCTCTGCAATGAAATGCAAGGCAACTGCTTTAACCTCAATTCTGTCTCTCTGGTTCTCTCTCTCTCTCTCTCTCTCTCTCTCTCTCTCTCTCTCTCTCTCTCTCTTTGCATTTTTTAAATGACTTTAACTTCAATTTTTATTTTTCTCTAGTACACAACTCAAATAATCACATATGTAGTTTAAGCTTGTATTTTTAAACAATCCTTGAAAATCACAAAAATATAGAGAAAGGGAACAAAGTTTTAGATTATCTATATTTTCCTTAGTACAGAGGTCAAATAATCCTTCTAGTTTTCTCTCTCTTTTTTTTTTTTTTTGCTTTTTTTGGGTCACACCCAGCGATGCTCAGGGGTTGCTCCTGGCTCTGCACTTAGGAGTGACTCCTGGTGATGCTGGGTTGGGGGTGGAAGGACCATATGGGATGCTGGGAATCGAACCTGGGTCGAACCCAATTCGGACGGGTGCAAGGCAAGTGCCCTACCCGCTGTGCTATTGCTCCAGCCCCCTAGTTTTCTCTTTTATCTCCTATTTCCTTTTCATAATTCTTTTTTTTTTATTAGTGAAGCACCATGGGGTACAGTTGTAGATTTACAAATCTTTGTGCTTGAGTTTCGGTCATACAATGATCAAATACCCATCCCTCCACTAGTGCCCATTTTCCACCACCATGAATAATATCCCCCCCATGCCCCCTCCCACCCTGCCTCTGTGGCAGGGCATTCCCTTTTGTTCTCTCTCTCCTTTTGGGTGTTGTGGTCTGCAAAAGAGGCATTGAGTGGCAAACATGTTCAGTCCATAGTCTACTTTCGACATGCATCTCCCCTCCTGGGAGGATCCTCCAAACATCCTTTATTTGGTGCTCCCTTCTCTATCTGAACTGCCCTTTCCTCTAGGATACCCGGCTGGCCTCTAAGTTATGGAGTAATCCTCCTGGAGTTGATCTCAGCTATTCTTGGGTATTAATCTCATATTTTGTTACTTTATATCCCCCAGATGAATGCAATCTTTCTATATCTATCCCTCTCTTTCTGACTCATTTCGCTTAGCATACTTTCCATATTGTACCACTTGTATGTAAGTTTCATGACTTCATCTTTTCTAAGAGCTACATAGTACTCCATTGTGTAGATGTACCAAAGTTTCTTTAACCAGTCATCTGTTCTTGGGCACTCAGGTTTCTTCCAGTTTCTGGCTATTGTAAAGAGTGCTACAATGAACAAACAAGTGCAGAAGTCTCTTCGACTACACATTTTTGCCTCTCTGGGATATATTCCCAGGAGTGGTATTGCTGGGTCAAATAGGAGCTCAATTTCTAATTTTTTGAGAAACGTCCATACTGTTTTCCAAAAGGGCTGAACTAGTCGACATTCCCACCAACAGTGAAGGAGTGTCCCTTTCTCACCACATCCGCGCCAGCATTGGTTGCTTTTGTTCTTTTGAATGTGGGCCAGTCTCTGAGGTGTGAGATGGTATCTCATTGTGGTTTTGATCTGCATCTCCCTGATGATTAATGATGTAGAGCATTTTCTCATGTGCTTTTTTGCCATTCGGATTTCTTCTTTGAGAAAGTTTCTGTTCATTTCATTGCCCCATTTTTTGATGGGGTTGGGTGTTTTCTTCTTGTGGAGTTCAACCAGTATTTTGTATATCCTTGATATCAAACCCTTGTCAGATGTGTATTCGGCGAATATCCTTTCCCATTCTGTAGACTGTCTTTGTATTTTGGTCACTGTTTCTTTGGAGGTGCAGAAGCTTCTTAGTTTAAGATACTCCCATTTATCTATCTCTGTTTTCACTTGCTCGGGCAGTGACGTGGGATCTTTGAAAATACCATTAGACTCAATGTCATGGAGGGTTTTGCCAACTTTGTCTTCAATGTACCTTATGGTGTCTGGTCTGATGTTGAGGTCTTTAATCCATTTTGATCTTACTTTTGTACATGGTGTTAGGCAGAGTTCTGAGTCCATTTTTTTTGCATGTAGGCGTCCGGTGATGCCAGCACAATTTATTAAAGAGGGTTTCCTTACTCCACTTCACATTACTTGCACCTTTATCAAAGATTAGATGATCATATGATTGAGGGGAGATGTCAGTATATTCAACCCTGTTCCATTGGTCTGCAGTTCTGCCTTTGTTCCAGTACCAGTACCATGCTGTTTAATTATTACTGCTTTGTAGTAGAGTTTGAAGTTAGGGAGGTTGATTCCTCCCATTTTCTTTTTCCCAAGAATTGCTTTAGCTATTAGTGGGGGCTTATTGTTCCATATAAACTTCAGGAGTGTTTGCTCCATTTCTTTGAAGAATGTCATGGGTATCCTTATAGGTATTGCATTGAATTTATACAATGCTTTTGGTAATATTGCCATTTTGACAATGTTAAGTCTCCCGACCCATGAGCAGGGGATATCTTTCCATTTCCTCATGTCCTCTTTTATTTCCTGAAGTAGCGTTTTGTAGTTTTCTTTGTACAGGTCCTTTACTTCCTTAGTTAAGCTGATTCCTAGGTACTTGATTTTCTGGGGCACAACTGTGAACGGGATTGTTTTTTTCATGTAGCTTTCCTCTCTCTCACTGTTTGCGTATAGGAAAGCCACGGACTTTTGGGTATTGATTTTATAGCCTGAAACTTTACTATACAATTCTATTGTTTCTAAGAGTTTTTTGGTGGAGGTTATTGGGTTCTCTAAGTATAGTATCATATCATCTGCGAATAGTGAGAGCTTGATTTCTTCCTTTCCTACCTGAATGCCCTTAATATCTTTTTCTTGCCTAATTGCTATTGCAAGTACTTCCAGTACTATATTGAACAGCAGTGGAGAGAGTGGGCATCCTTGTCTCGTCCCTGATCTTAGAGGGAAGGCTCTCAGTTTTTCCCCATTGAGGATGATGCTTGCTGTAGGCTTATGGTAGATGGCTTTAACTATGCTGAGGAAAGTCCCCTCTATACCCATTTTGGCTAGGGTTTTCATCATAAAGGGTGCTGGATCTTGTCAAATGCTTTCTCTGCATCTATTGATATGATCATATGCTTTTTATCTTTTCTTTTGTTGATATGATGGATTATGTTGATTGATTTCCGAATGTTGAACCATCCTTGCATCCCTGGGATGAATCCTACTTGGTCATGGTGTATGATCTTTTTGATGAGTAGTTGGATTCTATTTGCTAGTAGTTTGTTGAGGATCTTTGCATCTGTGTTCATCAGGGATATCGGCCTGTAATTCTCTTTCTTTGTGGTATCTCTGTCTGCTTTTTGTATCCGTGTAATATTCGCTTCTTAGAAACTGTTCGGAAGTGTTTTTGATATTTCAATTTGTGGAAAAGCTTAAAGAGGATTGGGAGTAAGTCCTCTTTAAAGATTTGGAAGAATTCACTAGTGAATTCATCTGGACAAAGACTTTTGTGCTTGGGGAGACTTTTTATTACTATTTCAATTTCCTTGGTGGTGATAGGTCTGTTCAGGTATTCCAGGTCTTCTTGGTTCAGCCTTGGGAGTCTGTAGGAGTCTAGGAATTTATCCATTTCCTCGAGGTTTTGATGTTCCGTGGCATAAAGCTTCTCAAAGTACTCCCTGAGGTCCTTTGAATTTCTGTAGTTTCTGTTGTTATGACCCCCTTTTCATTTCTGATTCGGTTTATTAGGGTTTTCTCTCTCCCCTTCTTTGAGTTTTGCTAGAGGCTTATCGATCTTGTTAATTTTCTCGAAGAACCAGCTCTTGGTTTCATTGATCTTTCGGATTGTTTTTTGGGTTTCCATCTTGTTAATCTCTGCCCTGAGTTTTATTATTTCCTTCCTCCTGTTCGGGTTGTGCTCTTTTTGTTGGTCCTTCTCCAAGCTCTTAAGCTGTGAGGTTAGTTTATTTATGTGGGCTCGTTCCTCCTTTCTGAGGAATGCTTGTAAAGCTATAAACTTTCCTCTTAAGACAGCTTTTGCTGTGTCCCATAAGTTTTGGTAACTCGTGTCTTCATTTTCATTCGTTTCTAGGAATCTTTTGATTTCCTCTTTGATTTCCTTTCTAAGACACTAGTTTAATAGCGCACTGTTTAATTTCCAGGTGTTTGATTTAGTTTTCTGTTTTTGTGTTTGATTTACTTCTAATTTCAGTGCATTGTGGTCTGAGAAGATTGTTGATACAATCTCTATCTTCTGAATTTTATGGAGGTATGTTTTGTTGCTCAGCATGTGGTCTATCTTGGAGAATGTTCCATGTACTCTTGAGAAGAATGTGTATTCAGCCTTTTGAGGATGAAGTGTCCTGCATATATCTACTAAGTCCCTTTCTTCCATTGTTTCCCTCAGATGAATTATGTCCTTGCTAAGCTTGAGTCTGGTTGATCTATCAAGAGGTGACAAAGCGGTGTTGAAGTCTCCCACTAGTATTGTGTTGCTATTGATGTCTTTTTCCAAATCTATGAGTAGTTGTTTTAAGTACTTTGCTGGTCTCTCATTAGGTGCATATACATTTATTATTGTAAGTTCTTCCTGTTTTACAGATCCTTTGATCAATAAGAAATGGCCTTCACTCTCTCTTATGACATTCTTCACTCTGAAATCGATGTGGTCTGATATTAAGATGGCTACCCCAGCTTTTTTATGGGAGCTGTTTGCCTGTAGGATTGTTTTCCAGCCTTTGACTCTGAGTCTGTATTTGTTTTGACTATTGAGGTGTGTCTCTTGCAGGCAGCAGAATGTTGGGTTCACTTTTCTAATTCATCCTGCCACTCTGTGTCTTTTAATTGGTGCGTTTAGCCCATTGACATTGAGAGAGATCATTGTTATGGGATTTTGACCCATTGTTCTGTTGAAATTAGGTGTATTTGAGGGGC